GGTTGTTGCATTTTTTTGTTTCAAGATTTCTGTTCAGAAATCGGTGTGACAGAAAACCCCCTTCGCAGTGGATATGCATTGTATTTTGAATACATGTATGTTTGTTACAACTAAAATATTATCATAAGCTTTTTTGGATCATAAGCTAAATTTTATTAAATAAATTAAAGACTGTTTTTGTCTACGTTTAGGGCGATAAAGAAGGGGTTACAAGGTGAAAATACAGTTTAATATACAAAGGAGCTGGCTAAAAAGGCTCATATTCTACATTACCTCGTCCATGACGCTAGAAAAACTCAGGTATGCCATCTATTTTGTCCCGTTCCACCAACAGAATGTCTGAAACAAGCTATTTCCTGATGTGTGTTGGGTGAAAGCAAAGTTTGAATCACTTACTGATGGCCGTGGAACTCTTTTTCTTTACAGGTGGCATCTGGTGCGTTGAATGTAATTGGTTTACTTGGTTCATCATCAGAAGTGGGAACATTCAAAGGGCTAATTCAACTAATGTAGGGTGGTAGAGTGTCTTTTTTTTTTGTACTTCAGAATAGGACTGACTGAGGTCAATCTATTAAGTGTTTGATGTTATTGATTATCACTAATATATAGATTTAGCCAAGCCTAAAAGCGGAGCGCTTATTAGTTTATTTTTAAGCCCTACGTTACACTGAATAATAACTGTAATAAAACTATCTACTGGCAAGTCTCTATAATAAAACTATCTACTGGCAAGTCTTTGTATTATATTTCAACCCAACCATTTCTTCAATATGTAAACACTATTACAAAGTAATTAGTCAGGGAAATGGAAAACTTGTGGCATATACACCATATTTGAAATGCCATGACCATAGTAAGCTAGCAGGATTGAGGAGGATGTATGTGGGAGTAGGCCCTCTTGTCTGAATCAATAATTTTCTAATCACTCCTGTTGGCAATGTTTTGATGAGGTTGGGCTATCAAGGCAAAGGAAATGAGGATTTTAGTAGACAGTGACTTTTTTTCAAATCTGGAAACTATCATCATGAAAGCCATACTTGTTCTCGGTAACTCATTCTTATTCTGATAAGCTAGTTTTGAGAAGGATGCAATATTTTATAACAAAAACTCGATGCATAGGTTGTGCCAAAACCTTTAATTTGACTATACTTTTATTGCCCATACCAGTCCCTTCAAATGGTAAAATGTTAGAAGGTTCAGAGCAAAAATTATCTGCCATACATCTGCAAGATTTGATGTAATTATTTTAAATACAAGAATATTAACTAATACTAGGAGATCTTATAATATTTAAAAAAAAAAATTTTGGTTGAAAAATTAGAATTCAGCACAGGCTGGATAAACAAGGTTCTTAGAAAAAGAAATGTGTACTAATGAAAAGCTAAGCAAACGTTTTTTACAACACCTGCTTGTACCTATATAGCATGTAGTAAAGTCTTTTGAAGTAGTCATAATCCCGGTTTCATATGTTGAAAACACATGCACATTCAGATTTCCTGTAAGCCTATAGTTAAAGTCTGTGATGACTTCGAAATTTTGATGCACACCTCAAAAGGAGAACAAATGAATTTCATGTTTCTATTTATTCAGTTTAGGTTGGTGAGGTAAAATTGAGTCAAACATTCAAGATGTACAATGACAGGTTCAAGAAATTTTCACAACTAATTTTTAAGGTTAGCCTACCTGGAACAATCATCTTGAACTAATGATGCCCAACAGAACTATCCGTGGTAAGAGGGCAGGCTTCCTTTCTTCATTGCCAACGAGCCAGCCGAGCGAAGACGCTCGACTGGCGAGGCGGCAGAGAATAGTGCCGCGCGAAGAATGGCGTATGCGAAAAAATTCTCGATCGGCATTAAAAAGTGTAAGTGAAAGGTGTAAGATGTAAGAATGTCTCAGTTTAAGCCAATTGCAAGGAAGGAACTATTCAAGCCAATGAAAATACAATGTTACATTGTAGTTTTTAACCAATCAGGAGGCGGTACATCTAGACACTTTCGC